ACGGCGACGACGGCGACACGGCGACGACGGACAGCGACGACAGCGACGACAGCGACGACAGCGGCGACAGCGGCGATAGCGGCGACAGCGGCGACAGCGGCGACAGCGGCGATAGCGATAGCGACAGTAATAATAGCGACAGCGACGACGACAGCGACGACAGCGACGACAGCGACGACGGCGCGGAGACAAGGGTATCCCTATATAGAACTATTGACAGGTGTCTACTCAGCTATCGTTACTATCGACAGATGGACGCTGACGATAATTTCCGACAACTATCGACAATTTAACTATCGACATATCGACAGAGTAGACGAGGCCTAACGACACAGGATGAGATGGAAGTATATCGGTCCATCTACGGTCGAGTCTCGCTACAGTAAGGTAGATATACTAGGTACACTGGTACATGTATACCTGATCTTACCTCATTGTCAGGTTGTATCCTGTTGGGCTTGTACGACGGAACGGCGGGGAGGCTAGTGGAGGTGAGGTGCGGTTCGGTTCGGTGGTTTATACCATGTTATACTATACTGTACTATACTATACCATTACAATGAGAACAAGAACGACGACGACGGCTGAAAAGGGATATTGCAGCTAGGTATACATATGATATTACATTACCTTACATTACATTACATTACATTACATTACATACACTACATCTTGCCTTGCCTTGCAAATGCAACACAACACAACGCAGTACCCGACCGAGTCTACCTTTTTCTTTCCTTCTAGGATCTCGCCAGACCGCCTAGTTAGCTTCTGTGAGGGTATCAACGGATGATCGACAAGACAAGCTGATTGCTGACTGAGACTTTGACATGGAACATCTGACCAAGAGGAAGAAGCGAGAGAAACGGGGGAGGCGGGGAGGGGAGGGGGAAATCCAACTCCGAAAATCTGGCATATACTGGTCTATCTACTACCTAGAGTCTAGGTAGAAGTAAGACGGGGAAAGCGGTATGGACGGGTTTTTTTATATTTTATTCGAATACGAGTTTTACTATAACAGTGTTACACTGACATTGGTCGGCAAAGCGCGGATGAGGAGGGAAGGGAGGAGGATGTCGGTTAGTAGTGAATTTTTTTCTTCCAACGAACAGTACTGTAGTTGGGTGAGTGAGTGAGTGATATTTGTTGGTGGTGCTTCACCTTTTTTGTTCCTCTTCTTCTTCTTCTTTTTCTTCTTTACTTGTTCTTCGTGTTGATTATATCCTGGTTTACTGCTGCTGCTGTTGCTGAAACCAACCATCCAACCAACCAACCAACCAACCAACCAACCAAACATCAAAAGAAGAACAACCAACCAACCAACCAACCAAACATTGAAAAAATGAAATCCTTCCTCCTCGCCTCCCTCCTCTCCCCCCTCCTCACCTACGCCGCCAGCCCCGCCAACCCCTTCTCCAATTACTTCCTCATCGGTTTCGCCGACAATGGCCCTCTAATTCGCTCCGTCACTACCGTTCTCGTTCTTCCTCCTATTGACCAGAATCAAACTGGATTTTTAAAAGTTTATCCTGAATTGGCGACGGCTTTTGATAAGGGAGGGAGTGTGACGGGGACGGGAATTGCGCTGTTGGATGATCGGTGAGAGGTTTCTTTTTTTTTGTTTTTGTTTTTGTTTTTCTTTTTTTTTTTTTCTTTTTTTTTCTTTCTTTCTGTTGTTGCTGCTCTCTCTTCTTCGTTGGGAAGAGAAGAGAAGAGAAGAGAAAGATCAAGTCGGTATATCTGTCTGTTTCTCTTCTTTCTTTCTTTTTCTTTTTCTTTTCTTTTTCCTTTTTCTTTCTCTTTCTTCTTTTTTTCGCTCCAATCCACTAAATCCTCATCCAGAAACCCATGTCCCAACAACCTCCAAGACTGGTGTGTAGGAGCCCGTCTCGTCTTTGGAGATGCGCAAAATTCAGGAGATTATGCTCCTGCTCCAGTTGGATCCAAGCTGGGAGTTTCCAGTCAGTATCTATCCTACCTATCCTCTCCCCCCACTTCTTCTCCTTCTTCTTTTTCTTTCCTGGTATTGAGGAAAAACAAACAGTAACCTACGACCCCCCTTCCAAAAAACACAACATCGCAGTAACCGTCAACGGAAAACTCGTTTCTTCTCTCCCTCCAACTTCACCAGATAATCTCGGTAAGTCCCCATCCCATATCCCCCCTTCTCCCCAAACCCAATTAATTAATATTTCTTTTTAAAAAAAGAGGTCGGCCGCGCCATCGGCTTCCGCACACAAATCGAATGTCAACTCGACCCTTGCGGAACCGTCAATAAACACGAATATCTCGATACGAGAGTGGTGTTGGACAAGAAGGATATGAGTTTTGGTGACACGGCTGTGGGGAATAAGGCCAAAGCAACCTGGAAGACTCCGGATGGAGGCTTGACGTGGACGGCGGATAAGATTGTTGTCGAGGCGCATACTTATGCGTAGAGAAGAGGAGAGTTGGAATGGGGAAGAAGGCAGAGGGAAGGGAAGGGAGGGCGGTGGTGGTGGTGTGGGGGGTTTCATGGCATGATTTCTCGTTCGTTCTTGTGCCTGCTTGCTTCATCACCAACCAAATACATCATCTGCCTTTGGTAAAGAAGCGCCCTCTCATCCTGTCATCGCAATAGGAACTTCATCATTCTTTTCATCGTCCTTTACCCCACCCAAAAACTCAATCATACCACCAGCACCACTCTCCTGGTTTCCATTCTCCCCCTCATACGCCAGCGGTAAGCCCACGTACGAGTTGATCCAATTAAGCACAACTTTGTGCCACACGAGACTATTCTCGGGTTTGAGGACCCAGTGATTCTGGAGGAGACGAGAAGTATGAGTATCATTCATGGGCTGAGGAAAGAAGAAGAAGACGCCAAAAAAAAAAGAACTCACCTCATCCGGAAACGTCAAAAACTTCGACTCCACACCCCTCGCCTGCAAAACATTAAACGCCGCCAATCCCTCTGCAATCGGCAAGCGATAGTCTTTGGACGAGTGAATCACCAGCTGTGGGGTTGACCAGTTGGCAAAATGTTCGCTCGGGTCCCATTTCCGCCAGGCGGAGAGACTTGCTGCACCGAAGTTGTTGTGAGCCTGCTCTGCTGCTGAGCTCGAAGATGCAGAAGCAGCTGATGACTTGGTAGAATCAAATCCGGGGTCGAACCAAGGAGTGCCGCCGAGATCGTAAAAGGGGAAATATAGTTCTTCTGTGGCCAGGAGTCCGGCGAATGATGTGATGCCATCGTGACAGACGAGGGCTTTGAATTTTCGTCCTGTAAAGTAGAGACGTCAGTGATTACCTTTCTCTCAGAAGACTATTCTTGTGACGAATAGGGACGGGACAGTAGCTCACCCAAATCATGTCCTTGAATCCAATTCATCATATAGCCTCCGTAGCTGGCACCCAAAGCGACGGCTCGGCTATGATCGGCTTCGGGCATATTCCTGCTCGCCCATTCAAAGACATTTACGATATCTTGGTATGGGTCGCCGCCCCAGTTCTTGCGGATCGCATCTGTAAACGCTTGACCATATCCCGTCGAGCCGGTCGGGTTGGGTGCGATGACAATGTAGCCCTGCTCCGCGAAGATCATAGGGTTCCAACGCGTGGACCAATTATCTGTCCATGCGCCTTGAGGGCCTCCATGAATCAGATACGCCACGGGATATTTCTTGCTGCTGTCAAAGTTGCTCGGTCGTACCACGATACTGTGCACTTCTTTGTTAACTTTGGGGTTACTCGCAGGAGTCCAAATTGAGGAGACTTGTTCCGATTTGAGACCACCGAGTTTGGTGCCATTTGCCGAGTTCGAGTGATACCATTGCTGCGAATACAAGCCGGCGGACTGAGGAATCAAGATGATGAAGAACGAGTTATCGGTAAGAGAGCTGCCAGATGCGAAGATGCGTCCGTCGGGAAGTGGTCTGACGTTGCCTATGTAGTTGCGGTTGACGAGAACTTGCGGTTGCTGTTGTTTCAGATCGCCCGGTATGAGGAACAATTTCCCACTTCCAGTGTCTTCGGCTAATGCGAGAAGATCTTGGCCATCAGCTGTCCAGACAATTGACCCGGGACTTCTGTTCCAGCTGCCTTCAGCAGCAGCAGAGAATGCTCGCTCCATCGTGTGCGTCGGGTCCTTGATATCGCGCAATACGAAGATATGATTCTTGTCTGCTTCATAGCCCCGAGTCTTCATCATCAAGAAAGCAGCCTTGGTACCATCTTCACTGAAAACAGGAGAAGTCGCTGCACCTTCGTAGCCCGGTACGACGACTTGTTGCAGAGTAGGCGTTTCATTCCCTTCCCAGTCGCGGATGTGGATGAGGTAGACGTTCTCCTTCGTGTTCAACGCTGGGTTCAGCTTCGGGTCTTTGGCAACAAAGATGATCCCGTGCGAGCTGATATCAAAGTTGTCGGTGCCTCCAAAGGGCCGTACAGGGCTTTCCAGTCCCGTTTTGTGAAGGGCATTGGTATATGCAGACAAACTGAATTTGCCACCACCTTTCCTCGACAACTTGGCATACCACAAGCAGTTCGTTTGAGTCCCAATCCATGCATCCCAGTGGCGTACAAACAGGCCGTTGTAGATTCTGGCAGTAGATTGCGGCTTTTGCTCCGTCTCCGGATTATACATCGTACCGCATCCACCGTTGTTGGCCTGGGCAGAGAAGACGACGGCATAGTTGTCATCGTCCAATCTCTTGACCTTGAGGTTACCAGCCGGACCATCGATCGTGCCTGCAACATAATGTGACGTGCCCAGATTCGAGTCTCGGATGACCGACTTCACACTGGCAACATACAGCTTCGTCCTCCCATCCTTCTCGGCCTGCAAACAGCAAAAACAATCATCATCCACCCAATTCAAATCACTAATATCATCGTCCTTGGCCAATTCATAACTCTCTCCCGTGCGCACCTCCAACACACGGAGTTCCTGCGTTTTGGAATGCGTGTCAAAACTATACGTCGAGACGGTGTACAACACCCAGGTGCCTGAGGGATTTGGAATCCCGGCACTGCGCCGCGGAGCAGAGAGGAGGATTTTGGGAGTGAAGTGCATGGCGCGGAGAACCATTTGGGATGATGATTTGTTTTTTGGTTTTGTTGTTATCTTTTGGCTTGAGGAGGAGTGGTCGAGGATTCTTTGGGGATGGCCGCGGCTGATCCGGATGTAGAGTGCGGTGGTTTGTACGAGACTACCTGTAGTAGAACTGCTGTGGGAGGTGATGTGTATGATGAGATGGTGAGATGATGAGAGTCTACGCGTATACCAGACGTCAGCCTCGTTATATCATTGACGAGTGACGGGAGGTGGATGTCAGCGGGGCTGCGGTTCCGGCTACTGCAGGAACATGATTGAGCAAGGGTAGGCAGGTATTAGTAGAAGCATATATAGGTAAGGTAAGTACCTAAGGTGCAACAAGTGATGAATAGCATCTTCTGTACAAAGTCATGGCGGTCATGATATATAAATATATGGGTATAATACAGTCGACTAGACCAGACTACACTCTGCCAAGGTGTTGGCTCGATCTATTCCATGTCCAATGCTGCATCTCCCTCATCAGGCAAAGCAGCAATGACCTCTTCTACCATTCCAATCAATTGATCGATATCTGGCCGCTCAGCGGGTTCCACAGCAAGACATCTTCGTACCACTTCCTTGATCGGGTCGGAGATGATATCGTCTCGCTGTTTCTTGCTCGCTTCGTCGACATCAGAGACTCGCTGCTTGCCACGCTTCGCCTCCGCAGCGCCTTCGTCGGGAAACCTCCAGTCACCGCCCAATACACACAGTGAGAGCGAGCCACCCGTCTCTTCACTGCGCGCCTCAAACGGCGATTTGCCCACCAGGCAGGCATATAACGTACACCCCATACTCCAAATGTCCACTTTGGTGTCGATTACGGTGTCGGTCTTGACATCAAACAGCTCGGGTGCTCGGTATGGCATGGTGCTATGCTCCGCCGCTTGATCTTGCACTTGTAACGCCATCGCCCTACTCGTGATGGGCGTGGGTGACGGCGCGAGCGATCCCAGATCCATGAGAATGGGCTGTGTCCCGGTATCTGCAATCATAATGTTCCCCGGCTTGATATCGCGATGCGCGTAGCTTCGCATCTGTCCATCCGCCAGGCCATCCTGTGCGGCCATGACCTCACTCTCCATCAGCGGCTCTTGATCCGTCTCGTCGCCGCGCTGACTTCTCCTGCGACTTTGGTTGGCGCGTGTGACTTCTTCTTGTGCTTCGCGATCCGCTTGCGCAGCCTCCTGGCGCACGCTCTTCGCTTTCCTCCGGCTGGCCTTTCCGCCCGGTGCTTCGCCCACTTTGTATTGATGCATGGCTTTGAGCGCGCGACAGACTCCCAGAAACAGAATCATGAGCCGCCGTTCGGGAAAGCGCGCACGGTTGACGAGATTCGCATTGATTGCATCTTGCAGATTTCCGCGTCGGTAGTAGGGCAGCAAGATGTATACCGTCTTGCTGCCGGCGTCTCCCCCTCGATCCGTCTCGACGGCATGGTCAATGGCGTGGATGATGTTGGGATGCGGCGAGAAGAGGCTGTATGCTTCCACCTCTTTCAGTGCGAGAGAGACAGACTCTTCTCCAAATGGACATCGGATCTTTTTGAGCGCATAGAGGGTTGGGTCGCCGGGGGACTGGACCAAGTAGACAAAGCTGAAGCCCCCTTCGCCCAGCAGTCGCAAGATCTTGAATGATCGGCCATTGATTTTCAGCGATGGAGAGGATGGAAAGCAGGAGAAGCAGTTGCCGAGCTGCCAGAGACCGTCCAGGACATAATGCGACAGCTGCTCGACCAACGTGGGCGACATGTTTGTGAAGAGTGGGAAAGTCGGTTGTATCTGGGTGTTTGGGACAGCTTTCTCCACACGACATGAGCACGAGGCGGGATTACGCGTCGGGGACCGCAGTAGAACGGACTTGTACACCCGGGCGCTGTCCGGAATGGAAACACAACGCTTTCTCATGCACGAGGTATACCACAGACACGTATTTTGAACAGGGCATCCTTCTTTGTCTGTCTGCTAGCTACTGGTTACCCTCCATTTCTTCGTGTAATATTACAGGCCCGATAGTCCCGGATTGGCATCATTATCATTGCGTCCTCATCTACATCACATCGGTCCTCTCAATCTTGACCTCAGAGACCGGTCGATCTCCTGCACCGGTGCGAACACTGCCGAGCTTGTCGACTACGTCCATTCCCTCGACCACTTTACCAAAGACGGTGTGCTTGCCATTGAGGTGAGGAGTTGGGCCCAAGGTGATGAAGAATTGGGAACCATTGGTGTTGGGGCCCGCGTTTGCCATTGAGAGGGTTCCTTTGGACTACATTCATACGCACGTCAGATGATGGCCTTTTTTGTGTCCTTTCCGGCTGGATGGAGTGCTTACCTCGTGCTTGAGCGAAGGAACGAACTCGTCCTCGAATTTGGCGCCGAAGATGGAGCTGCCACCACGACCGGTACCGGTCGGGTCACCACCTTGAATCATGAATCCTGCAACAGTGTGAGCTGAGGGCTGTGTGATTGTCAGGAATGGTACTGACCAGGAATGATTCTGTGAAAGATGACTCCATCATATTTTCCCGTCTTGGCCAAAGTAGCAAAGTTCTGGCCTATTCATTCAATGAGCATTTAGTGTCCTCCAGTTTCTGGTGCTCGCTGCTACTGACAGGTGCGTGGAGTCTGCTGCGAGAAGAGCTGAATGGTAATGGCACCGAGAGTGGTGTGCAAGACGACCTTGTCTGGGTTTTCCACAGCACCAGCTGGGGCTGGGGCGGGAGTAGCAGAAGCACCGCCGCTGCTGCTGCCGCTGCCGCTGCTGCCAAACATGCTCTTCAGCTTGTCCATGATGGGGGATTTTGGTGGGTGGTCGGTTAGAGGTGTTGTTGTTATGATTGTTGTTCTTCAATGTTGTTGCACTCCCGTTCAATGTTGATGGGAAGACTGGGACGAAGTGACGACACTATGCTCAATGCGCAGACGATTGGCGCTAGTGCTCAATTGGGGAGTGTGTGCCTTGTTCTGCCTCAGCTGGCCCTCCATTCTGAAACCCGCAATGATGGAAGACTTGGGGTTGCGAGACAAGCTTCAAATGTTGTCGTCTCATGGTAGAAGTATCAAAGACCCGAGGGCAGTGAAGCGACGAGAAGCAACAAAGGTGAGTGCGGCTAATGCGGGCATATGAGGTATAGAGATCGGAAAGCAAGACATGCCAGCAGATGTGGAGGTAAGGCGGGAATAACAGGCGATGTATGAGTCTCCTCCTCCTCCCTGGTCGCAAACAGGGCTGACGACCAACCGAGTCGGCGCGATGAGTGCAGAAGATGGATTACGTCGTCGACAGGACAGGACCTTGACTGTACCTTGACTGTATACCAGTGGCATGTGATGAAAACATTGGTGAAGAGATCCATGAGGTGGTCTTCGGAAGGGTTGGACATGTCGGCAATCGCGGTGTCAAGACTGGACCAACCAGGAGGCGGCATTGCGCTGACCAGGCCGTGTTCGGGCTTTGACAAGTGTCTTCGGCATTCGTCCATTATGGTATGACTACAGTAGTGGTAAGGTACAGGTAGCTAGTAGGTATTGTCTCAATGGCAGAGGCGGTGGACGGGATGAATAGACTCTCTACTCTGCCACGAGATATAAGAATGTATTGCATGTGCTCTACCGTATTGTGGTATGTATGTCTACAAGGCACAAGCTTACTCTCTGCTGTGGTGTGATTGGTGTAGCCAGGATCTGGAGACTCCAGCGGGGAAGAAACTAGAGGCGGTTTGGCGGTGGTGGATGACTCGTGCAGCATGTGAAAGAGACCGCGGCTGGCTCTCTTTCTCTCACTGTCTCTCTGCATTACCTCTTACCGTACATAGTTACGCGTGACCACTTGCGCCAGATTCACATGCTGAAAGGGTGAGTAGTAGATGCTAGTAGTGCATGCACGTGCAAAGACAAAAGCTGCCACTCTCCCACCTTGTTTTCCCTGTCCTGTGCTATTGTTGATCCTCTCTCCCTCTCTCTCTCTCTCTCTCTGTGTGTGTCGGCCCACCCAGCGGCTGATTCGATACTTCGACTTCTACCTCGGCCGGCTTGAAAAGCACCTGCATAAACAGACCCTCTTCCTCCCACTACTGTACCTTACCCTTTCCCTTCAGATATACAAGGGACTCGCCCTCCTCCTCCTACTATACCTTTGTACTCCCTTTGGACATTTCATACCAGGCAACCACCGCATCCTTACCATCATCATGCCTGAGCGAGTGATTGTTGTCGGCGCTGGCCGTGAGTGCGAGCCGCACTCTACTACTTCTACACACAGCAGCTGACCCGACTCCAGTTTCCGGCCTGAGCGCTGCTCACACCATCTACCTGTCTGGTGGCAATGTGCTGCTTCTCGACAAGAACAGTATGTCGCCCGCCTCTCCCTTCCTGTTTCCTGTCGCGCTGCGCTTCCGAAACCCTCTTCTCTTCTTCTGCTGACCGTGTCGCTAGACTTCATGGGCGGCAACTCCACCAAGGCCACTTCGGGAATCAACGGCGCTTTGACTCGCACACAGGTCGACCACCACATCGGGGACAGCGTCAAGCAATTCTACGATGACACCGTCAAGTCTGCACGAGACAAGGCCCGCCCCGACCTGATCAAGGTTCTCACATACCAATCTGCGTCCGCCGTCGAGTGGCTACAGGACATCTTCAACCTCGATCTCACCCTCGTCTCGCGGTTAGGGTACGTATCTCCTCCTCCACCACCGCCAAACATGCAGGACACTGACACTCACTCTGCGCAGAGGACACTCCTTCCCACGAACTCACCGCGGTCACGATGCCAAATTCCCCGGTATGGCCATCACATACGCCCTCATGCAGCGATGGGAGGAACTCTGCGAGAAAGAGCCCGAGCGAACCGAGTTGATCAAAAAGGCAAACGTCAAGAACATCAACATGGACGGAAACAAGTGCACCGGTGTGACATACGAGATCAACGGCGAGTCCTTTACCGTCAACGGACCTGTCGTCCTCGCTACTGGTGGTTACGCTGCCGATTTCACCGAAGACTCGCTCCTCAAGAAGCACCGGCCTGACACCTTTGATCTCTCCACCACCAACGGCAACCACGCCACCGGTGATGGCCACAAGATGTTGATGAAGATTGGCGCCAACGGCATCGACATGGACAAGGTGCAAGTCCACCCCACCGGTCTCGTGGACCCGAAGGACCCGACCGCAAAGACCAAGTTTTTGGCTGCCGAGGCCCTGCGTGGTGAGGGTGGTCTGCTCATCAACTCCAAGGGCGAGCGATTCGTTGATGAGCTCCAGCACCGTGACTTTGTCTCCGAGCGCATGTGGGAAGAGAAGAAGAAGGGCAACTGGCCCATCCGCCTATGCTTGAACAGCAAGGCCTCCAACACACTCGATTTCCACACGCGCCACTACTCGGGTCGTGGCCTGATGAAGAAGATGTCCGGCAAGGAGCTGGCCCAGGACATTGGTTGTGGCGAGAAGAAGCTGCACGAGACGTTTACGGCATACAACAAGTACGCCAGCGGCGAGGAGAAGGATCCCTTCAACAAGAAGTTCTTCCACAACTTCCCCGTCGAGATCAACGATGACTTCCACGTCGCACACATGGAGCCCGTGCTGCATTTCACCATGGGTGGTATCGAAATCAACGACAAGTCCGAAGTGCTGAACCAAAAGGGCGAGCCCTTTGAGGGTCTCTTCACCTGTGGTGAGTTGGCCGGTGGTGTCCACGGTGCCAACCGTCTCGGTGGATCTTCGCTCCTCGGCTGTGTTGTCTACGGACGTGTGGCCGGCTCCAGCTCGAGCAAATACCTCTTCCAGCAAGTCCTCAACGGTGCTGGTGGCCAAGCTGCCACTCGTGCCGGCCAAATCAGCCTGCACATTGACCCCAGCCAGCCGGGCAAGATTTCGGTCGAGTGGAGTAATGGAGCGGGCGTCGGCAGTAGCGATGATGACCAGATCCGAAAGCAAGGCCAGCTGTCGGCGGCGCCCGTCATGGGCAAGGGACAAGATCCAGGTCAGGTCAAGCAGACGAATGATGTCAAGGCGTTCAAGGTGCCCGAACAAGAATATTCGCTCGAAGAGGTGGCCAAGCACAACAAAAAGGACGATTTGTGGATTGCCGTCAAGGGTGTGGTGATGAATGTGACGGACTGGGTCGATGAGCACCCGGGTGGACCACAGGCCCTCTTTTCACACATGGGCAAGGATGCATCGGAAGAGTTTGAAATGTTGCACGACGACGAAGTGATTCCCAAGTATGCGGCCGAGATTGTCATTGGGCGAGTACAAGGGCAAGAGATTACTTTGGAGTATTAGGCCGGCATTTTTTCTCTAAACCAATTGATGAGTGAAGAATTTTGACAAAAATCTGGATGGAATGATATGGTATGTATGTAGCTTTTTTGTGTGTACATCACTTTGAACTTGACCCACGTTTTTTTTTTTCACTTTTCTTTCATTCTTCCTCGATCCAAATCACCTTGTCACTCCCGAGTCACACACTCATAATACCTTACACACACTCCACCACCCCATCATTCTTCTCATCTTTTCCCAACCCCTGTCCCTTTTGACGACGACAACGACGACGAGACATTCTCCACCAATACACTGCGAGAAAAACCCCTATGGTGAAGAGGAGAGCTGCTCCGAATCCTGAGGCGATGATGATTGCTGTGAGATTTGCGGGGGGGAGGAGAGTTGATGGGGAGGAGGAGGGGGAGGAGGGGGAGGAGGAGGTGTTCATGGTTTTTCTTTTTCTTTTTCTTCTCGTTTTATTTTTTTATTTTTTATTTTTGTTTTATTTTTTCGAATTTCTTCGGGAGAGTTATTTGTTGTTGTTGTTGCGTTTCTTTTCTGTGATCGGAATTCTTTTTTTTTCCTTTCTTTCCAAAAAATTGGGGAGGAGTCTTTGTTGTTTGGTTGGTTGGTTGGTAGCGGTCTTTTCTTTTTTTGGTGACTTTGGAGGGTTTCTTTTGGTTTTGTGCTATAGATATATTCACTTATGAATGGCCGGCCAGTTGATCGTTGTTTTTCGTTTTTTGATGTTGTACGTGCTGCTTTGCTTTGCTTGCTTGCTTCCTTGCTCTGTTTGTTTGTTCGTTCGTTCGTGTGAGTGAGCTTTTCGTCTGGCCTGGTCCTGCTACTTCTGAGGGATTTGACGAGAGAGGTGTTGTGTCGTTTTAATATCCAGAATATTGTTTGATGGATTGATTGATTGACGGATTGATGGAACTTCCAACACTAAGGTACCTCGAGAGTCCCAGCTCGTCGTCGTTGTTATTGTAATCGCAGTATTGTTCGGAAATTGGCCTAATGGAGAAGTAGGTAGGTATTCACGTTCCCAACGAATTCTGCTTTTGAGAAATGCAGCTGATTGCCTGAATCTGAATATGAGCACAGCAACTGGACAGCTCTCATAGATATCTATAATCTCCCCACGGACCGACATCAAGCCTCAATTTCTCTTTTTTTCTTTTACCAAAAGCACCAAGCATAGGTACGTACCACCAAATCAATCCCACACAAAACCACCTCACCTCACCTCACTCGCTCACTCCTATTGTTGAAAAGTGTTGAGTGTGCCTCCCGCTGTAGCAGGATGATACCTTGACACCGTTTGTCTCTCCACTAGCACCACCAGCACCCTCATCATCATCATCAGTATCAAGTATCAACGTGCACGAAACATGTGCACGCCACTAGAGGGAGGGACAAATTGCAGTGATCGGGAAGAACAGGGGTAGACCTTATGTTTGCATGAACTGTGATCGTCTGACGCGTAGAGAATGAACTTTCATAGAGAGAGAGAGAGAGAGGACCTGCATGGCTAACCAAGGTAGATTACTGACACTGCTGCTCATGGTCAGCACACCTAGTTCCTACCTAGTCCCGAGACAAAAGTCAACCAGCCAGCCAGCCAGCCAGCCAGGCCAATGACGTGTGGACGCCGAGTGAGATATTCATGTTCCTCTTGTCTCGTCTTATCCTGTCTTGTCTTTTTCTTGTCTTCTTCTTGTCGTTTTCTTGTCCTACTTCATGTCTTGCCTTGTCTCGTTCTATTCTTATATTTCCACGTACCTCCACTCAAAATACAAGACAAATCTCTCGTCCCCGCTGACCTCACCATTCTGAACAGATAGATCTTGGTCCGCCTTCTGATACTATTCAACTTGCATGTGGAGGTGGCACGAAAACGACATTCATCGAGCCAGGCGTGAGAAATGCTATCAGGGATAAAGTCAAGTGAAGTGAACTGCGAAAAGTGGTGATGTCTCTTCTCTGTTTCTACTCACCATTCTATCTGTAGCCGGAAACGTATCTGCGATGGCGAAGATATCCCGTCTCCTGTTTTTTTCCGAGCCGTACAGCGCTCCGCCGTGGGTATCATCATGCGCGTGTTTCCATCTCGACACGCACAATACAATCCTGATGCGAGCATACATGTATGACCCGCAAAAGTAGGTGTTTCTCCTGTATCTCTAGTCCGTCTTGACTCCAGCGGCTTCGACTTTGAGATCAATCGAACTCACACCATTGGAGAGCGTGGCTACCGTTGCTTGTTTGGAGATGCGAGTCTTCACTTCCTGCTCCAAATTGGCCAAATCTATGAGGACACCATCTTTTTCTGCATGTCCCTCGGGCAGACCCATTTCCTTGATCTTGCATTTGCCGGCAGCGAGCTCCTCGTCGCCGAGAATGACGGCAAAGGGTATACCGCTCACCTCGGCAGCTTTAAATTGTGCAGGAAGTTTCGGCTTGGTCTTCCACAGAAACTCGGCTTTGATGCCAGCATCCCATAGTCGCGCAGCAACTTCCATTCGTTCTTCTAACAGACCTTCGAACCCCTTGCCACCAAATGCCATGACATAGACGTCCACCTCGTTTGCTCTGATCGGAGCTGCCGATGCGTCTGCTGCGAGTCGTTGTTTTGTGATACTGAAGATGCGCTCCACTCCGAACGAGATGCCCACGCAGGGGATCGTCTTCTTCCCGCTGAACATGCCCACCAAATTATCGTACCGACCTCCAGCGGCGACAGACCCTACACCGACGGTAGGATCGTTGGAGCGGTCTTCATCCCCATCAGCACTTTTCTTCGATCGTGAAGACTTCTTCGCTTCTTGTTGCAGTGCCTGGCCTTCGCTGGTCTGCGGTGCAGATCCTTCTGTGACGACTTCGTAGATGAGGCCCGTGTAGTAGTCGAGACCACGAGCAAGCGACATGTCTAACGATATTCGGTCGAGGATGCCAAATTTCTTGAGGAATTTGAAGAGCGTCTGAATATCCTGCAGACCAGCCTTGGCCGACTCATTCCCTTGCAATTCCTCGTCTTTTTGCAGTTCTGCCAACAGTTCCTCGCTGCCCTTCCGCCCCACGACATACTCGCCTATACGGTCTGCAATCGCAGCATCTAAGCCCTTTTCTTCGGTCATCTCTCGACGCACCTCTTCCCACGGTGACTTATCCAACTTATCTACTGCTGATGAAATGGTGCGGATCTTGTCGTCGGGAACTTTGCACACCTGGAAGATGCCGTCGAGGATCTTGCGATGGTTGAGCTTGATGGTATAGCGGCCCTGCCAGCCCAGCGCCTCAAAGATCTCTACAATGATGCGCAGGATTTCCGAGTCGGGAATCATGGAGTCGTACTCGCCCGCAATATCAAAGTCACATTGGTAGAACTCTCGCATTCGTCCTTTGGTCATGGCGGGCTGATCTCGTCGGTAGACCTTGGCAATGTGATATCTCTTGATGCTAGAGATGCTTGAGTTCATGGCCAGCCAGCGCGCAAAAGGGACAGTCAAGTCGTATCGCAGCGAGCACATCTCTCCGCCCTGGTCGGCCAAGTCATAGATGAGCTTGCTGTCTTCGCCATATTTGCCAGAAAGAATCTCCTTTAGCTCGAAGACGGGAGTGTCAATGGTGACGGCGCCGTGACGCTTAAAGACTTCGGCGATGGTGGAGAAGATGCGCTCGCGAATGACCATGTCCTTGCCATCCCAATCTTTGGTCCCCTTGGGTACTTTGAGCATAATCTGCTCTTTCTTGTCCTTGCCCATGGCGTCGAGTTGTCTGTCTCTGTCTCTGTTTCTTTCTGCTTCGGTGGGCTGTTCGTGGTAGTATCGACGTAGTGGTGGAGTGCGGGGAGTGCGGAGAAGGTGATGTTGGTGGTGGTGGTGGTGGTGAAGGAGAGAGAGGCAGCGGTGAGGTGAATTGACAGTCAGACGGACGGTGCGCGTGAGCGGTGTCAATTTCATGTGGAAGAGTGGAAGATGCAAGCAGAAGACTCATACGGCGGGCATATACGTACAGAAACATTGCTAGGGCAAGCAACCAGGACCCACCAATGCCGACGCGGGCGGGACGCGGGACGGACGTTCCCCCTCTCTCTTCGTTCTTCTTCCCAGACTTCCCTTTCCCTTTCCTATACCATCCCGTCCACCATGTAGCAATGGCTGCCCACTCGGCGGCAAAGGCCATCAACACCCAGGAAATCACCGACAAGGCGCGACGCGAGCTTCTGCTCCTCCTCGAAAGCGTGAGCACCTGATACCACCTAATCTGCACTACCGCCCCCAGCTCATATATCTGTCTGTCTGCCTAGGTTCGCGGCAAGAAAAACCTCGTCATTGAGAAGTCTCTGGCCGGCACCGTGGGCCTCTTCGTCAAGTTCAGCACTCTCCAGGAATATGGCGTGGACAAGCCCTTTTTCCTCGAGAACCACAACATCGACTCCAGCCAGCGCAACATTGTCTTTGTGGTGCGAGGAGAGAATGCAAAGAAGATTCGCATGGTAGCTGGTATGCCGTCTCACTTCTCTCTCCCTCTCTCTCCCTCGAACAAGAAGAATCATGATCCATGAGACCACGGCTCTAAAAGTAGAGTGCGCAGCTGTATTTCTCCTACCCTGCGTATTCAGTCTTGATGCCAAAATTAGCCCCAGCTTCTGTATGATTTCCAGCTTCGCGAGTACTCGTTCATCTTGTGCGGCACTGTCATTACCTGCTTACATACCCTCACCCTCACTCTCGTCTCCTGAAGCCAGCTGATGAGAACAGAACAGATCAAACTCGTCCGAAGTGAGAGCAAGATTGATCATGACTTTACCATCATATGGGTGCCTCGTCGCACCCTGGTCAGCAACATGATCTTGGAAGAACATGGAGTTCTCGGTGAAGCCAACATCACAGAACTACATCTCCACTTCGTATCTCTAGAGCCAGATCTTCTATCCCTCGAGCTGGATGATGCCTTTAGTGGTCTCTGCTTGAGGAAAGATCCGACCAGTGTCTTTGCTGCTGCCAAGGCACTCATGCTTCTGCAGAAGCAGTATGGCCTCTTTCCTCGAATCCTAGGCAAAGGCGATAATGCCAAGCGTTTAGCAGATTTGCTACAGAAGATGCGGAACGAGGAAGACGTGAATGCTTCGTCTGACTCAAGTAATACGTATCTGACTGCTTTTGGACTCACGCCTTCCTCGTTGATTGAGAACCTGATCATTATCGACCGGGAAGTCGACCTCCCTACTGTACTTTCCACACAGCTCACATACGAAGGACTGCTGGACGAGGTGTTTGGCATCACCAACAACACCACCGAGGTAGACTCTTCGATCCTCGGTGGCGCCCCTCCCGCACATTCGCAGAATGGGTCCACGCCTGCGCCTACCGCTGCAACCAAGCGAAAAGTCGTGCTGGATTCTAGCGATAAATTATACCCTGATCTGCGGGATACCAACTTTGCCACTGTCGGCCCCACCCTCAACCGCATCGCACGTCGTCTCGCCACCGATAGCGAAACCATGCACAGCAAAGACCAGACCGTCGCAGATTTGAAGAATGTTGTGGCGAAATTGCCGTCATATCAAGCGGAATCAGCGAGCTTGAAGATTCATACCAGTCTCGCAGAAGAGATTATGAAAGTCACTCGCGGCGAGTCCTTTGGCCGGATGCTTGAAGTACAGCAGAATCTCCTCGCGGGCACGGATGCGACAGCATTGCACGAGAATATCGAAGAACTCATCGCTCGGAATACGCCACTTAGCACGGTCTTACGATTACTTTGCCTCGAGAGCTGTCTGTTCAATGGCCTCCGTCAACGGGACCTCGATCACTTCAAACGACAGATTCTCCAAGCGTATGGCTATCAACACGCACTGACTCTCGCCAGCCTCGAAAAGATGGGTCTCCTGGTTCCTCGCGAGAGCCACCGAGGCTACCTCAACCCCATGGCAGGCGCAGTAGGCCAAAGCGCGACCGACTGGAATAGCGTTCGCAAAGGCCTTCAGCTCTGGACAGATGAAGTGCAAGAAGCAGACCCCACCGACATCGCCTACGTCTTTTCCGGATATGCGCCTCTCAGCGTTCGCCTCGTACAATGTATCCTGCAGAAATCCTCACTCCACCAACTCCTCACCAACGCGTCCAAAACCGGCGGCACCGCAGCGCCCTCGGGCGCCGCAACAGGCTGGAAAGGGTTCGAAGAAGCCGTCGCACGAATCCGAGGTGCCACGGTCGACGTGACACAAAAGGGCAGTGATGCCGACGCGTCGCACGCGCGAAAGACGTTGCGAGGCAGTAAAGAAGGGCCTCGAATCTCCATTGTCTTTTTTCTCGGTGGGGTCACGTATGCGGAGGTGGCGGCTTTGCGGTTTGTGAATGAGCAGTTGGAGAGGAGCGGTGGCGGGAATGGGAGAAGGAGAATTGTTATTGCGACGACGAATATTTTGAATGGGGAACGAGCGGTTGAGGTTGCAGTGGAGAAGAGGACGTTTGTAGCGTAGAGGAACAGATTATTAGCCTACGGTAGGTATCGATGGACCCAAGATACTGGTACCGACTTGCAGATGTATCCAACGTTTTATTGAAGATGATTCCACCCTTGAGATACCTCCGAGACAATGGGACCACGACATGTATATTCCCAACTAGACAGGACAGGACAGAGAGGAATTTCAAATCATCGTCGTCGAATGGAGAACTCGCCGTCTCAGTATGCTCATTATTATATATGTGACTTCTCCTCCTAATTGATTGCACACATCGATCTTGACCAATATCCTTCGTCGTCAAAGAACCACAAGAACAACAACAACAGCAACAAGAACAACAGTCTCGCTCATCTCGCTTATGCTAGCCATTGTTGCTCACCCAATTATCCACATGTCTCCCCATCACCATGACCACCGAAAGAACTCCGACGCTGTGCGCTGTTCAGAATAAAAGGAATGACTGACTCTTCTCGTATGTATCCTCCTCCTTCTCTTCTTCTGTTCCCTCCTCCTCTTCATGCTTGAAGATTAAAAGAAGAAAAAAGGGCATCTACAACAACACGGCAAAGCCCAAGGCGGCCGCACCCAACACACCCACAGTTCCAAACGTCTGACCCATTCCCAAGGCCCACACTCTGACATTCTTGACTCCCGCACTCTCGCCATTCGTCGTCTGTCCCACCAAACCCGAATACACCGTCACGGTGCTGCCATCCGACTCGGTCGTGACTCTGGCAGGCCCATCCGTGGTCTGGGCGTCACTTGCACCTGCCGAGCCCATCGATCCCGTCATGGTGGTCGAGGCCATCATGGACGTGGTCAAGGTACTCGTATTCTGGCGGGTTGGATTCTGGGCTCCGCAAGGGTGATTCTGGCGACAGTCGCTGGCGCATTCGGTGTCGGAGCCGCAGTTGGAGACACACTGTGTGCCCCATTGGGTGCAGATGGAGTAGGGGAGCGTATTGCTATACTCGGAGACGTTGGGCGAGTTGCCGTTGTCGCAGACGCAGGCGTAGGTGAGACTTTCGGAGTCGCATTCGTTTGATGAGGTTGTTCCGGTGGAAGAGCCTTGGTCGAGGCAGATGAGGGGGCATTGGGTGATCTGTTGTTGGCACCAGAAGTCTGTTTGGGGGGAGTTAGTATGTTGTAGAGATTTTTCTCAGATGGGGAGGAGGAGGAAGGAAGGAACGAAGGAAGGAGAGAAAAGGAAACAGGGCAAAAAAGGGAGAAATGTACCTCGGGTGGTGTTGGAGACGGATTGAGGGTCGATTCGGTATTGTTGTTGGGCTCGAGCCGCTCCAGAGAGGAGAAGTGCAGTCGCAACGGCGACTTTGTTTGGTGAGGAGGCCTTCATGGTGGTGGTTGTTGGTGATGATGATGATGATGATGATGATGATGATGATGATGAATCTGTAGTGGTTCTATTGATGTGTGAGTATGCTGTTCGTTCTGCTGATACTTTTGTGTGTGTTTTGTTGATGATAGGAGCTACTCATCAGCAGAAGAGATTGCCAATTGATAGTAGTCCAGGGCGCTCGGGCTGCTGATCAAACACAGGTGGTTGGTAGGTATGGATGGAGGTGAACTGACCTCTCTCTCACTCTCTCCCTCTCTCTCTCTCTCTTCCTTTCGATACAACAGAGGAGTAGTAGCGACTGTCGGTGTAAAGGAGGTCAGGTACAGGTAGAGCTCAACAACAAGAACAACAACAACAGTAAATACAAGAACAGGAGTACAGCAGATACAAGTAATGTCGGTACATAGTGATGCACTGGGGAGTCAGTGGGTTATTTATTTATGATTGATGAAATTCCAATAGAGTGTAACGGGCGGCGGCAGTGGCACGGCGATAGACATGGATGAGGCAAAAGGAGCTTGGGCCCTCTTCCGCCTCTGCAGTCGGGTCTAGAGTGAGGGATGCAGCTTCACAAGCAAAAAAACTTCCTCGCCACCAACCACCAGCAATTGTGATAGGAAGCCGCTGCTTCTGGCCGTATTTGGTATGTACCTGATATTTTTATTATTTTTATTATTTTCGAATGGGAGGTGTGGGAGGTGTAGCCACGGGCACCTACCTCCTAGTAGAACTCTCTTTTTTTTTCAGCCTTTCGATATTCGAAACATGCCCGGCTTTTGTTTACTTCATACCCGTTCCCGGCACGGAGTGGAAAGTGTGGACTGGGGTTCTACATGTACTCTAGCTCTCTAGTACTCGAGTGATACATACAGACCTCGTGTTGCCGACGCAAGGAAGCGTACGTACCTATATAGTGTAGTACATAATGCATCAGTAGGTAGGTAGGTAGTTGTACACGTCCTCTCTCTATATCCAGCTGCATACATACAGTACAGTACGGTAGGTAGGTATACTGACTAGGGCTCTCCCTAGCCCCCGCCCCTTCCCCTTGGTATTGTGGTATTATAGTATAAAGAGGTATCTTCCTGGTTGTCGCCTCGCCTCTGCCAAGATCACACTAAGCGCTACTGTAGGTAGCGTCCCGCAGTATCCAGACACGAAAGAGATCGTCTCGGAGGCTGGAACCGACGGGCGTTGAACCTGCTTCTTCTTCGTTGGACTGTGTTACCGTCAACCGTCTTTTACAGGCTCACCGTCCTCATCATCTTGTGTGATTCCGATTATTTTTATCTTTACTTTATTGTTCCTCCTGCAGTAGGTACCTCCTAGCCTCCTCCTTACGCAAGTCATTCACTATTGGCAGCGCCAAGCGAGAGCCGAACACTAGGTACCTATACATACCCCTACTACCTCCGAGAACTAAGTGGTAGCAAGACGCGCGGCCTGTGCTGGAGCTTATAGTCACGATACCTATCATTATCAGATCAGTGTTATTCTTATCGATATCACCTTCCGAGCTCGTCCTGTGGTGCGGCAGACTACTGAGCTGCCCGCTGTTGGAGCTGCTGCTGCTGCTGCTGCTTCCCCGCCGAATGCTACCTACCTGGTACCTAGGTGACTACCTTTCTCAATCGCATGGGGACCCGCCTTCACGAGCACGACGACCATGCAGCAGAGCCTTCGTTGAGAGGGGAAGACCCGCCGCCGCTGCATTCGGCCGCCGTCGCCACTACAGGTACGCTTGACGACGACGACCGCGGCGGTGGCGGTGGCGGCGGAGAGGGGAAGGAGGAGGAGGAGGAGGAGGAGGAGGAAGTGGCAGAGGTGGAAGCAGCGGAGGACCATAACCAGCATTCACCTGCAGCCAAGCGGCAAAGGCAACCCGGCGCAGATTCTCAGCCAAAAAGCTCATCGGATGTCACTGATGCACCCCCATTCTGGACGACGAATCGCCACCGGAGGACAGCCAGCTCGGTGAGCTCTCATTCTCTCCAACAACAACAACCGACAAGACCCGCCGCCATCATCCTCGAAGACCACTCGAAGGATGATGACGAGCAGGCCTTGTCCTGCTGGGCACAGTCTGTGACTATTGATGACTACTCTGTCGTGTCTGGCCCAAGCGGGATCGGCGCTTACGTGGTTTGGCATCTCACTGTGAGTACCCTTCAGGGTGGCGATATGCCGCTCAATAAACGGTAGGTATTTCTCTCTCCCTCTCTCTCTCCCCCTCTTCCTCGCTGCTGATGAACGAATGAATGGATACTGGCTACATATATCTGTCTTTTACACATCATCCCCACCCACACTCCTCATAAACTGACGATTTCGGTCCATGGTGATTTTATAGATATTCCGAATTCGATCGTCTCCGAAAACACCTCGTCACCGCATTCCCCCATGCCGATGCCATGATTCCCGATTTACCTCGCAAGAGCGTCGTTTCTCGCTTTCGTCCCAAATTTCTCGAACATCGTAAAACTGGCCTGGCGCATTTCATGAAGTACATACCTCACCTCTCACCTCACTTGCCCATTCCTTGGTAGTTGTATTGATCCCATCGCACTATCGCTGACTCGCCGGGTACCGTCTAGTTGTATTATGCTCAATCCGGAATTCGCGAGCTCGCCTATTGTTAAAGATTTTATATTCAATTAGAGTACCTGGAGGCTGGTAGGAGGTAGGTAGCTCTTGCCATTTCTCTCTGGTAAATATAGGTACTCCACCAACCCCTGCTATCGACCTGTACATGTGCACCTCAGGTAAGGATCCTCTCCCAAAACAAACATCAAGTATACCTTAAGGTAGGTACCTAGGTATATAATACTTCACACACCTGACATTTGCCAAGGCGCAAAGAAAACGAAAAAGAGTAGAAGCTCATTCCAATTGAATGAACCATTTGAAAGATGTGTATGGTAAATACGGAAAAACGTTAGATGAATGATGATCACTGTCCATGTCGAGCCACATGGGTCTCTCGCTCTCTCTTCTTTTCTTCTTTTCTCCTTTTCTCCTTTTCTTCTTTTCTTCTTTTCTCCTTCTCTTCTAGGTTTTCTTCTTCCCGTCTTCCTCATTACTCGTCACTCCAGAATCGGGATTCGTGCTGTGGTGCCGCTGCAGTCACTGCCAAGACTTGCTGCTGTGTTCATGCCTCTCATATCTTTTCCTCTGATGGGATTTCTCTCTCTCTCTCTCTCTCTTTCTCTTTCTCTCTCCGATGCTGACATCATATCATCAGACTACTAATCCTCCTCTCATGCCCGGGATACGTCTGATGATGACTGGCCATGCTCGGACTCCCCTGTGTCCCATTTCCATACGGAGTCTGCGGTGTACCCTCCATGCCCGCTGGCCCTCGAAGTCGCCTCTCTTGTTCATACACATGCCAATGCTTCATCACAATCTTACTCGAGTCGAATTCTCCTTCCTCATCATGCCCACCTTTGCCCGACCCCTTTTGCTCACCCGCCGCTTGACGCGTATCACCCCAGCTAAAGTCATCGAAATGCCAGAATGCATACGTGGGTAACACCATATTCCAGATGGGAAGAGAGAGAAGATAGATCAACATCCAGACCACGTAGGACACGCGGTGCGCGGTAATGACAATGAGCACACCAGGCAGACCCAAAATGAGGGCGAGAAGGACCAGAGGGATCGTGGGAGCTGCAGTATGAGTGATTGCCGCCTTGATGGCGAGTGCGACTAAGGAAGAAGTTAGTGATACGCTCTGCCCGAATCTGCTCGCAGGACGTGAGAAGTGCCGTCGGATACTTACGGACGTATATGGTAAAACTGATCGCAGCCGGCAATACCAGCGTGCCCATCAATTCAATAAAGACCACAAACTGCATCGAAAAGCAGAACGTGCCACACAAATCGCGAACGAGTACCAGCTCCATGAGGTTGTGTATGGTGGAGTTGATCCATCTTCGTCGTTGCGACAGCAGGACCTTGAACGTGTCCGGCACGGTAGTCTTACACACGGCTTGTGGGATGAACATTTGTTTTCTCTTGGGAAAAGTCTTCAACATCAAGGTCGAAAGATAACGATCTTCTCCGAGTAGCAACAAGTTCTTCTTGTGCAACGTATCCACCACATTCTCCGAATAATGCTCCACGATGTCAGGGTTGGCCAGAATGGGTACCCAGTAGTTCTTGCCACCCTTGGGCGCCTTGATGCGGTACATGCAGAAACAGCCGGGCAGACAGGTCACACCACCAAACACAGACTCAAACGCTTTGGCTTGATGATGGGAGATGAAGTACTCAAACACTTGAATCATAGAGACCCAGGATGCTCGTTTGTTGGCGATTTTCGTCTCCCCGCACAGTCCCATGATTTCTGGATCCTTCACCATGGCAGACACCATGTGCGTGATCGAATCCGGGAACACTTTCGTGTCGGCATCAACCATGAGCACAATTTCGTAAAAGTCGGGCGAAATGCCTGTGAGCTTCCAGATGCCATTGAACATGTCGTATTCGAGCTCCGTCATGCGCTCGTCAAACATGATTTTTTGCAAAAACGACATGAGAATGATTTGAGAATCACGCTTGCCTCTGTTTCCCGGCTTCGAAGTGCTAGCTTCTTCTGGAGTGCCACACTTGACAATCACAATCATGGGCACGCGTTGTTGACGCTCGAGAGGAATCGTGCTGTCTGCACCATAATCGTAAAAGCCGCAGTATACCTTAGCCATGTTATGTCGCTTGCTGCCCGAGGCCACGGCGACATACGAGTAGGGCTGCACCTCGTCCGGAGGGATAGAGTGATCCTTCATCATACTGATACAAGCATCGGGTGTCGACATCGATTCCCCTTTTCCCTGGATCAGGCCGTCGCACACCACGTAGATGAGCTTGTGACTGTTGGGATAGTCGGTCGTGGCAACACTGTCGAGTGTGGTGCGAATGCCCTCGGGACCTTCAGAGTATGCTGTCACCAGACAAATCGTGTGCGCAAGCGGAAAACCATATGGCTGCCAATCTGGAGGTGGTTGCGGTACCACCGCTTCGTGGATGAAGCCCTGGGGCCCACGTGTTTCCACTTCGCCCTGCATGACACTGCTGTATCGCTGCGCGGAAGATCCATAGTTATGAGACTCCATCAAGCTGGCATGGCTTTCCGATTGGCCTTCTAAGCCGGGGTATAATGGCAATGTACCTTCGGACCGGTTCGTGTGGCCGTAGATGGACGCGGCATTACCCGGAGTCAATCGATTATTCGAACTCGAGGTCACCATTGTAGTCGGAGGAGCAATGCTTTTCCGGTTGCCTCTATCGATGGCGTATGGACTCGTGAAACGAGAAGTAGTAGGCAAGAAGCTCGCCCGCTTGCTCGATCGGTCTGTCCCACTGGTCGAGGCTGGGCCTGTTATCTTCGGAGGCTGTCTGTAGATGTCATCAGACCACTCTTCGATCTGTTCCTGTCGCGCTTTTTTATTCTTGCTCATGCTGGTCTTGGCAGCAGCATACTTCTTGCTCAGGAACCACTCGAACAACAACGCCATGAAGAACTTGGCGATGACGATTCCGAGGATAAATATCAGAGACACATAGAGCACGACCTTGGAAGCGATGCATCCCACAGTTTCGGTATCGATCGAGCCCACCTTGATGATGTCTTGAAAGCACTCTGCCAGCTGCTTGTTCTCTCCCGAGGCGAATGCGAGCGTCACATCCTTGCCACGGATAGCAGAATTTTCGCGAATCTGGTCGAATTTGGTTGGGTACGATACCTGAGTTGTGTTGAACCATCTCAGAAGGTCTAAATCAAGGACATCTCCAGAGTACACCATGAGGTTCCTTGAGGCATTCCGCACGTCGTCCCAATTGAAGTAAACGTCCCCGGAAGAGCGCAAGCCATAGAATGCGTCTCTCGCGCTCCGCGACGTGTGACAAGCATAGCCCAGGTAGTAAGGAATGGAAGTATTCGGACTGGAACTTCCATCCTGCTTGAACATATTGCACGGGAAATACCAAGCGAGGTTTCCATCACCATCCGTCGTCACGTCTGAGTTTGGCGCGGTCGTGATGAGCCCTTTACAAGCACCATTTACATTCTGGAACATGAAACTGCCATCCATACCAGCTCCAGGCGGATCCGCGTCGAACAGAACGTTGCTGCCAGCTGCAATGCCTCTGGCAAGAGGATGTTGACTTCTTGTGAGATCATAGGCTTTGCCGTGGAAGATCATGTAGCCAGGGCCGACTTTGTTGATACGCAATCGCAAAGGTCCCCCGGATGGACACACTGTGGCAGTGAATCCGAATGTCAGGTAGCCGACAAACGCCATGATGAGGAGAATAATGGATATCAGCCCAATCTTCTCACGCCATGCTCGTTGAGCATCTTTTGCCTTTTTGCCAAAGCATCGCAGCATCACATTGGGAGCCCAAAATGTGATCATATGACAGTACGTGCCCCACAACGTGGGAGTACCACTGGCTTGTTGAATCTTCTGCTTTCGCTCTTGTTTCTCCTCGCGCTCTCGCTCTTTTTTGGACAAATTACGAGATAGCTTGTTCGGGGCGCGTGTACTCGCACTTTTCCCCGACCTGCCACGCTTGAGACCGTCCTTTTCGTTGAGAGGAAACCTCTCCTCGCCCGCAACCTTCACCGAAGGGTCTGAACTCAGAGTCACAATGTCTGCCTCTAGCTGTGGATCGCGGCCGGTGGTAGATGGCATGATGTTCATATGCGACTGTTGTACTCGCTTGCGATAGTAGTAATCGGGATCATCGGGATCCATGCGTCGCCTCTCCGGCCTGACCAGACTCTTTTTGCGGTTGAGCTCATCTCGCCTGGTGGCCGCGCCTGCGTCAATCATGGGATCGCGAGCATCGTGCTGTGGAGAGTAGGGCGAAGGCGGAATGTTGTTCACGCGCACCTGAGGCCCATAACCATCACTCTTTTGAGGTTTCCCGCTGTACACTTCGGTCGGCATACCTGCTGATGGCCTGTGTACCGAACTCCGCCTTCGTTGCCTATGATGGCTATTCAAGTCCTCGACGGCTCTGTCACGCCGCGCACTGCTCGTTCGACGTGTGCGATGTGTAGTCGAATTGCGAAAAGCGGCGTGATCGCGTTCCTCCGGACCCGTAGATGTCCTCCGTTGCCGAGAGCCAGAAGAACGATGAGCGGTGTTCGGACGGCTTGAGGAATCTCTCCTACGAGAGGAGTCTGGTCTGGCGTTTGACGACATGTTGGCCTAGCCGCGCATTCCAGTCGGTGTCTCTCCCCGCCGCACTCCTCGCTCCCACTTCTATAATCCGTGAGACAATGATCTTCTCGGCAGCGGCCTGGCGCGGCTGGCGGAGTGTCTGCGTCGGTGTGGGCGTCGGTCTATGGCAATTCGTGTGGATGCTATAGTGTACTGGCCGGCAGCTGTGTCTGTATGCTGACCACAGCAAAGGCGAATCGAGAACGAAGTGGCGGCAGATGGAAGGTGCCAATCCTGTTGGGACGAAACGAGAGTCAGTTGCGCAGCCTACACGACTGCACTACCTAACGAATGACAATGGCAACACAAACAGCTGCCTCCAAACAAGTGTTGCTGGTCGGTCGCTGGGCCTTGACGTGACCGGTGGTTGCCTGGGAAGAGACACGAAGAAACAGTGCAAGGATGCCCACGTCGACGCTCAGCGACGCAGCTGATGATTTGTCCGCAGACTACCAGGTAAGAAGGCCAAAGAGACGGCCGCCCCTGAGCCGCTAGAAGCGAAAGACTAATAAATCGCTAAAGGCACGGCTGGCACACACATACACACACACCTGCGGACGGGAGTGTAGTGGCAATTGTTTCTATTTGCAACACCGAGCTCTCGCCTTCTAACGCCTGCGCAAAGCGGGCGCAAAGCGGCCGCGCGAAGGATCGACATGCGGGAGCTACCATTCGCACCCGCAAGAAAGGGGAAAATATCAAGCTCTGCATAGCGATTGCAGGAGGCAGTTGTGCAGCACGAGTGAAGAACAACAATGTGAATTGTGCACAGTGGCAGTGGGATCACAACGGTAGGGCCGGACAGTTGGGAATACAGGGTGTTTCGGAGGTCGGTAGGTACATACATCATGTATCGTTGAGATCCTGGTCGACGATCTCTCTCTGGCATCTCTGCGACAACCTTGTTGCTGCCCCTATGCCCTCTGGTTGTCCAGCACCAGCCTAGCTGCCGACAGTCCCGAGACCTCTATAACAAGACACGTGAGCAGCGTTAACTATTAATACCAAAGGCGTACGTACACGCCCGTCCGTCACGCGTGGAGCTCAAGCGGTTCTCCCTCTACCAGAGTCTACCTCTACCTACTAGGAGGGAGGTATGACTAAATGTATCATGTACCTGTATGCACTGGTGCTGCAAGCATGTGCTCATGCACTCTGTGTATATCGCGGACCCGAATTCGATCCGGGCCACTCTGTTACGGCTCGCTTCTCGTGATCTTGCGACGCAAAGAGGGCGACACACGTATTGTAACTTGGAAGGTATGGAGCAAAAGGGTGTAATTGAATGTGTACAATCTGTTTAACTACTGCCTCTTTAAGGCAGTGTCTGTATCTATTTATACTATCAATACTATTATACTACTAATACTATTATAATGATTTTCTATTAATCTCTATATAATCTCTATATAGAGATTTCCTACCTATTAGAGATTTACTACCCTCGGCCTTAGCCCTCGGCCTAACTCGGCCTTAGCCTCCTACTATCTAGGGATTATAACACTCCCCTTTAATCTAAGTATTATCTAATATAATAATTGTCCTTTATAATAGCCTGTAATTAATTACCTTAGAATATAACTACTATCTCTAATTAGTTAGTCTAATTCCTTTGACTCTTCTTTAATAGGTCTTTAACAGGCCTCTATCCTTAGGTCCTTTATTGCTTATTAAAGCCTTACTTTAAAGACTTTACTTTAGTAGCTTTGTTAGCCTTTGTTACTTTCCTAATACATTTACCTAATGTATTATTTACTTATATTATAATACCTTATTTATATACCCTACAATATATTCCCTAGGGTATTTAATACCCTCCTCTCTCTTTTATTCTTTATTTCAAACTAAACTTCCTATATCAATATCTAAACAACCTCTATATTAAAGGTTCTTAGCTATATTATAGCTACTTAATCCCCTATACCTACCCTAACTATATTTAGAGGTAGCTCTAGTAGTAGTAATAGTAGTAATAACAGAGCACTAACTAATAACCTAACTTAGTAGCCTAATACTCTATTAGCTAATATAGCTCTTACCTTTCTGATTAAGCTGTCTAAAGACAACTAGGTCAAGATTAATAGGCCTAAGCTTAAGAAGATCTAATAGTATATCCTTACTATCTATATAGCTAGCTAAACTAGGGATCTTCCTCCTTAGTTTAGAACTAAAGAAACTATTTCTCTCTTAAATAAGGATATCTTTGATACTATTACCCTAAGAGATAACAACAAGATATATAACTTTTCTGCTAAGTTAAATGTTAATTACCTCTTAGTACTTCTTAGTCAGATTTCTAGGAACAGAGTTATTAATAGCAAAGATATAGCCTATAAGCGATACTAAAAGGGCAATAGTCCTTTTGTTAGGTATATATTATCTAAGGACAAAGGATTCTTTAAGAATGCCTATATAAATTGTAGTTTCTATAACTACTTTAGTAAGTGCTTATTCAGTTCCTATACTATTATTTATAGACTAGTCTCCAAGAAAGGTAGTCTATTAAAGAGAGCTAAGAAAGCTGCCTCTAGCTTAGGTAGTTCCTCCCTTAAGATCCCTTTTAAGGATAGTATTAATTAAAACACTCTAGAGGGAGCCTAGGCAATTGCTAATTATCTTACTATAGTAGCTACTTAGTATATTAAGAGAGTAGAGCAGGGTTAGGGGTTTAGTCTAGGATCTTAATACTCTAAGTCCTATAGCTCTAATAAGGATAGTAATAACAATAGTAAGGGTTCTAGCTATAGTAATACTAGTAAAGGTACTAGCAAGAGTACTAGTAAGGGAAAGGGTACTAGCAAGGGTGCTAGTAAGGGTACTAGCAAAGGTACTAGCAAGAAGTAATAGTTAATAGTAAGAGTGAAAGTGAGTTAGTTAAGTAGGTTCTAAAAGTTTTGAGATAGTTAGTTAAGAGATTCAATTAGATCCCTATCTAGTAGGTAGATCAGAGAATAGAGTTTAGAGTTTTTACTTTAGTTAGACTATTAGCAAGTTGTTTATCTGTCCTAATGTATTCTATAGTAATATATCCTTTAGCTAATTATTCCCTATAGTAGTAGTTCCTAAGGTTAATATATCTAGACCTCTTTGAGTTAATATAATCCCTTATAAGGGTAATAGCTAACTAGTTGTCTACTCTTATATTAATACTCTAGTAGGAGGTACCTATAAAGATACTGATTTTATTAAGAAGATTCCTAAGCTAGTTAACTTCTCTAGTTACCTCTGTTAATACAAGATATTCTACTTCAGTACTTAATAGGATAATCTCTTTCTAGAGTACTGATCTTTAGACAATAGATAACTTAGCTATTTAAATCAATAGTCCTAATATTAACTTAGTAGTAGATAGGTCCCCTACAAAGTCTGTATCTAAGAATGCCTAGATAGGTATAACTCTACTTTTGTTCTTCTTGTATACTAGGCCTTTGTTAATAGTACTAGAGATATACTTCTAGATATACCTTACTATAGCTAAATAGGCTAGTCCTAGGTTTGACAAGAATCTAGCAAAATAGTTAGTAGTATAAGCAATATCTAGTCTTGTTTAGTTAGTAAGGTACTAAAGCTCCCTAATATACCTATTAAAAAGGGCAAAATCTTCCTTAGTATATTCTCCTTCTAGTAGGTCTATTATTTAAATAAGTAGGTATTTAATACTTTTGTAATTCTCTATCTAATAACCTTTAAGCTTCTCCTTTATATAGTAGGTCTAGTTAATAGAGATATTGCTATACTTGTCTGTTTTAACTTAGAGCCTAAGGAACAAGCTAGTCTTAACTATCTTAATATTGTATTCCTTCTTTATTCCTTTAATAAAGGAGTAAATAGCCTTTTTTGTCTTCCTAAATACCTAGAAGTTATTAATATAAATTAGGACTAAGGTATCTTTCTTAAAGAATAGGCATACATTACTTAATAATCTCTTAAAGCCTATCTTAGTAAGTGTATCTCTAACTATATAGTACTAGAGAGCTACTGCTTGCTTAAGTCTATAGAGTCCTTTCTTAATCTTAATTAAATACTTTTCTAGGTCCTTAATAAAGAGGTAGGCTATCTTAGGTAGTCTAATATAAAGATTAATATCTAATAGTAGATTTAGGAAAGCTATCTCTATATTAATCTGGATTCTCTTCTATTAGTAGTTAGCTTAGAGGGCAAGGAGAACTCTACTTATTGCTGCCCTTAGAGTAGGAGCAAAGGTTTTAAGGAAGTCTTCTCCCTTCTTTTAGGTAAAGCCTCTTGCCGTCTACCTAGCCTTATATTTCTTAATTGTCCTATTAGGAAGTCTCTTGATTATAAAGACCTATTTTCCTATTAATAGTATCCGGCCTTCTAGTATATCTTGGATTAGGCGGAGCTTAATATATCCTAAGTTAATAAGGGAGTTCTATTCCTTAATAATAGCTTCCTCCTATATCTTTGTATTAGGCCTACTTAGTGCTTCCTTAATAGTAGTAGGATCCTTAGCTATCTTAGTTATTTTCTTATTGTCTTTAACTAATCTTTTGATATAGGATAGGGTTATAAGTCTTACTATAGCAACCAGTTTCTGTATTTTTCTAGTAGGGCTGTTATTATTAGTCCTCTTTCTCTTAGAACTAGCT